GCCTGCTGAGTCTCAGGTGCATTTAATTTTCACAAATACCATCAAAACCTGCTTGACACCTTTCAGAAGATACATACTTTGCTTTCGTTCAATACTTAATTTACCTTCTCAAACAAAAGCTTTGCATTGTCATGCTTTGAAGCAGAACCTCGAAAAGCGAGGACAAAGAAGAGGACATGTCCTTTGCTAACTCCAGAAAAGTCAAATAAACTGAAGATCCTGCCCATTTGTGAGAGGCCGAAAGACAATCTGCAAACATGTGGCAAATTTCTGTTCCCATGAGAACTACTCCAGTTTGCAAGTGAACATTATTTTTCTTCAAATTGCTGCTCTGAGATACTACTGAATGCACTAGAGTCACAAATCAGAACCCACAGCAGCTTCTCTTGAGCTCTAAGTGGGGACAAAGTGGGGACTCCAAATACAAAGCCAGCAAGTACCAGTCCTGTCAACTGGTGTGAACTGGCCTGAAGAAGAGTTTGGTTTACAGCCCTTATGATTTGTAACTAGCCCACACAGATATCATTTTATCTTACTGGTCACCAGGTTTGCTAGTTTCACTGTTGCGTTGGTTTTTTTTTAAAGCAAGTACCTTAAAGCCCAGGTGTGTCAGTCTATGTTTGGCATGAACACAGCAAATCTGACAAATCCTTAGCTATCTGTAATTACCACATACAAGGTGTTCAATTCACACATGCACAGCAGCTCCAACATGGCCGAAGTCTGTTCTTAAGTCTCCTCTGCAAACTCAAGGGCTCCACATGTGTGCATTAGTCACCTTGTGGGCATCTGCATTTTTGGAACAGCCTGGAAGCAAGTCTAGAGAATCCCATGACCAAGCCAGCATTTGGGGCAGACTGGCAGTGAGTGGAATAGGAAAACAACTACCCATAAGAGAATCCTATGAAGAGCTGAGGTTTAAAGTTATCATAAGCATAAGAATAAAACACGTTAAAAATGGAGCCAATGCTAGTTTGTGGAAAGACCGAACAAAACACTGCAAGGACATTCTAAAAGTGGAAGAGAATGTAAGGGACAACCGGTCATTGATTTGGGCTCAGAGATGAAGCAAAGATCAGGCAAGAGAAAAAACAACAGTTTGGGTTGGAAGGGACCTTAAAGAACATCTAGTTCCAACCCCGCTGCCATGGGCAGGGACACTTCCCACTAGACCAGTTTTCCAAGGCCCCATCCAACTTGGTCTTGAACACATCCAGTGATGGAGCATCCACAACCTCCCTAAGCAACCTGTTCCAGTGTCTCACCACACTCATAGTGAGGAATTAGAGCAAAATGAAACCTGGGGGGAGAATTCAATCCTGCCTCCTGCAGAGAGCAGTTGACTGAAGGAGATAGAGCAGAAGGGTCTGACCACTGGAAAACACTGCTGCCTTGGAATGGAAAATGAGAACTGCGTCTTCTGTGGCCTTTGGAACTTGGAAGTCTCCTGGGCCAAAAGATAACTCTTTAGTTGTTCCTTATTATAAATTTTGTCAGTTTTAAAGAAATCGCTCTAAAAAACCATTCTGCTATGTAGATCTAAACGGATCCATATGTGCAACAATGAGATTCTATGATACAGACCTGTGCCATTTGAACTAACCAAAACAGACAAAAATAATGTAATAGTCAGTGACTTGAAAAAAGGAGAGAAGTACAACCCTCCGTGCAGTTTAATTCTGGCATCCCTATGTGCATGGACTGTGATCTAGTGATATCCTAATATACCTTTGGTATTTTTGAGTTTGTTTTTTTTTCTTTTGTTTTGGTTTTTTGTTTGTTTGTTTGTTGGTTGGTTGTTTTTTTTGTTTTGTTTTGTTTTGTTTTTTTTTTGGTTGGGTTATGTTTTTCCAGCTGCCCTATATTGTATTTAAACATTAAAATTCCTTCCATGCAGAAAATGTTAAAAAAAAAGCTGTGAAAGGTGCAGTACCTAAAGTCACCCCTAACAAACACACACAAGCAAACTCAGCAACAAAAGCACTAATGAAAGGAAAGCTATCCAATTCTTTGTCCAGGCTTTACTATACCTTCTAAAGTCAACAACAGCAAATGAGTTGAGTCAGAGAAGGAGAAAAAGAACACATACAATTACTACTCAATAGTAATGACTTGTTCCCACTAGGTTAATCAGTACTATTAACACCCCAAGTAAAGCATATTACTAAATCTGCTGAAGACACAGCCATCAACAAATCCATGCTAATTCAGATTTAACTTTTCTATGCAAAAAACCCTGTAAATAAACATAACATACTGCTGTCATTAAAGATGGTAATGAAAATTAATGCATTCAGTGTAGTGCTTCTACTCACATTTTCTCAGCTTTCTCAACGTTTCTGCTGCAGAAATCCAGCCGGATGACAACTTCTGTCTTTTTATGAACCATTTCGTTGTAATCATCCTTGATTATTTCACTAAAAAAGTGAAGCATTTGTCTATAACAGAAGTATTCAACTGCCACCTTACCAGCAATCAGTAACACAATAGTATAGCTATAGTAATAACTGCTAGTAAGAATTGCTTTCAGTTATAGATGCATTAGTATAATAAAACTCACATAAAACTATCTTGTGTAAGCTGCTCAATTGTACCTGCATGTTAACAGAGGTTAGATTTAAGTTATCCATATAAGAAAGTGAGATTGCAAATACATAAACCTTATTGTCAGAAAAAATTATTTGTTTCCTTAATGACAAAAACCAAGGAAAAATTTCCGAAATATTATTTATATTCAAGTAGTACAGAAAATCTCCCAAGATACTGGGAGATCACAGAGCTGTGTATTGATAATCATGACATCTCAATTTAACAGCAATTCAATGAGTTGCTTACATGAGCCACCGAATTCCTTTCCGCATCAGCTCCTGGTAAAGCAGCAAAGAACTGGCAACTCTGCAGGCGTAGCACACGATCCCCGTTACTGCCTGGTGGGCAGAACAAACATTAGTACCAACCTGGCACTCTCCTAGTCATGTCTAGTTAACAAACCAGAACAAAGCAATGCAGACTAATAAAAGAAAGAATAACATGAAGATAGCAGTTTAAAATACACAGTTTTGCCCAAACTTTAGCTGGAAGATAACCAAACACTCATTATGGAGGCAGAGCAAAACATGGTAGTGCGTTTTTCCAGTTACACTGACATATCTGTTAGGAATGAAAATAAGTCTCTCATAAACAAAAGTGGCACCACTTACTCTCAGGATATACTTCACTTTCTGGAAAGTCACAAGTACTTTTCTTCAGTAGTTTAGGAATTAAGCACTGACATTAAAAGAATTTGAAAAAAAATTACACATTTTTAAATTCTAAGGCTAGGGACTCTCTTCACTCTACTTACAAGTTGGATGCATTATTCAGAATTTTGAACGAAGTTTCAGAAATTATAATTTACAGTATTCTAAATAATTACTATCAACCAATGACTTGCTGTTTATTAATTTTCAAGACTTCTGGTATTCAAAGAGACCTATGTTTTCAGGATTACCAAGCCTGAATACAAGGGTCCTCAGCAGCCATTTTGTAGGCATAGTATAAATGGTGGTTACAAAGTCAAAGCATGGCAATGCACCCATTCAGTAGTTTTAGAAAAATGTCCAAAAGAATGACAAATCCTCTACTTGTCTTCTACAGATTCTGAAAATTTGCAAGAGAGGCAACAGAAATTCTACTCTTCTGCAATCCTAGAGACTCCTCTCTATTGAGATAAGTTAATTTTTGCACATTGTTTTGCATCATCACAGTGCAAAACTCCAGAGTGGCAGGCTCCTTTTCACCCCATCGCTGAATTGTGAGGCAGCAAAGCACTTGGTCTTGGACCAGAAGCTTGTTTGGGAGTTTGTTCTCTTTTTAAAAAGTGCACAAACATATTCTATATACAAAATATGGCTTTAATATACTTTTGGAGCCCTTGTTAACAAACACAGTTCTGTCAATCAGGCTCCTCACAAGCATATCAAAAATAGTTCCATTAGCATTGCTCACCTGAAAATCAAATAGCTTTAATTTCATTATCATCTGAGACATGTATATAAATGAAAATCATAATTACTCACTTTAGCCATACTGGCATCCCCATCCAAATCGTAACGTTGATGTACTTTAGGAAGTAAAACTGAAAGATAACACAAGTATCAGTGTTTTCTTATTTTCCATAAGAGACTTCAGAAGTTCACCCTTTCCCCTCCCCACTCTGTACACTGGTTTTATGTGTATCTGCACAGATTGTCATCTGATCTGTTACAGCCGAGCCTCTTAATACCGCGTGGTTCTCAAGCACATCTTCAAAACTGTTGACTTCAACAGTTAAATAACTTGGTATCTTCAGCAAACTGTCCTTTCGCCTCCTTTTCCAGACTCACTTTTCAACATGCTGCACAACACAGATTTCATGCAGGTTTCCACTAGAGATCTCTCTCCACTAAGCCAGCTGTTTATGTCTGTTCTTCAGCCCTACGGAGACCACTCCCTCATGGCTGATTAGTTTCCTTAAGACTCTTTACGGTCAGGACTTCACCAAATAGCTTTCTAAAACCTAGGGTAGCCTCTATCAGCTGAATCTCCTTTGTTCTTGTTCATTGACTCCTTCAAAAAGCTCTGACACAATATCAATGCACTGTTGATCCTTCTACAAACACCTCACCTACACCCATTCTTCAGCATCTCTGTGCGAGTGCCAGCTAGCCCCAGCAGCCAGTGGGTAGGACCTGCTGATGAAACCCACACTGACCTCAGCTGGAGGCATGTTCTCCAGCTTATCTCTCATAAAAAAAGGGCTCTGGCATAGGGCCCTCTATAAGCCTTTCAATGATAAATGGAAATGCAACAACTTAGTTTCTTTTTCCTTCTGTTAGGGCATTGCCTTATCTTCTAAGCAAGGGTAAGCACTGGGAGCTCCTCAGTAACTGAAAAGCTGACTGCATTCATGTCAAATAGAAGAAAGAAAAAAAAAAAAAAAAAGTTAAAACTTGAATTTCCACTTCATGAGTAATGGAACAAACGGATCAGCATTGAATTATAGTCTGTGTTCCTTTCTACTTGTTAAAAGTGTCATGCTTCAAAAAGTTACAGAACTCCATATACATCGCTATGTAACACAAATTCTCAAGCTTACTGCATGAAGAAGACGACAAGCAGCTTCTGTTTCTGTAAAAACATGCTGGCTACTCTGCATTTTTGAAAAAAAAATTGGACTGCATACTTAGAACATCAGGTATCACCAGTGAAAATTTTCAAACTCTACTTTTAATACATAACAGACACAAACCAATAATTAAATAACCCAAACTATTTTAAAAAGAGTGCTATAAGAAAGAGGAAATGTCTTTCATATACCTTCTTCATAGATTAATCCAACAATGTTCACAGCCTCCCTGCTTACTATAAAGATAGGGTTCTCCTCAGTTGTCCTGGGGAAGTGCTGTGCCAATCTGCCAGGCTCTAGGATTAAACGTCGACCTTCGTAGATCAACTCTTGATTCTGAGATGGTATTTTTGTCTGTTTGTAAACCAACTCATGAAATATCGCTGCTCTGTAATACAAACATTTTCATTAATTCAACAATTTAGGGTTTTATTACTTAAAAATTCCTTTTACTTCTGAGTAAGAACTGGTTTTACACATAAAGCATTTGACTTACAAGCAGACCAAAAAGCAGCACTCTGCCTAAGGCTCCAGGTTGCTCTGTTGCAAAACCAAACACTATTTCCTGCAGAATTTAAAACTTCCCTTCCTAGCTCGAATTTTCTGCCAAAACACGTCTGCATAAACAAATGTGTTTTGGTCTTTAGTCTGAAAGTCAGTAAAAACAGGCAGCACCAGATCAGAGGAAGGAAGCATGCTTTTGTTTTCCGAGGCATACCCATTTCTTCAAAGAAGATGGATAGGCTCTCCAGGAGCCAAGCCTGCTGTTTCATATCAAAAAGCACACGCCCTAAATTCAGCCCATACGCTAGCAGACAGACAGATTATCTCCTAAAACAGCAGTGAGAAGAAAGACCTAAGACACTTTGGCATTTTATTTCCAGCAATCAATGAATACAAAGCATAAGAATCTGTAACAAACCTCCCTCTCCTCTCCCAAAACAAACAAACAAACCCTCCCACAAAGAAGAAAAACCTTAAGCACTCTAAGAAGGACCAGTTTCCCTCCTGTGCAGCACTAGCACACTGTCATTTCTTAATACTACAGCCAGTATATAAAAGCTCATAACAGTAAATAACAAAATGTTTTGGTTTTTTTGTTAAAGTACAAATATCAGTTTGAGCTACAAGCAAGACTTCTCTGCAAAAATAGTAATTGGGCTCTCTCAACATACAAAAGACAGAAAAGAAAAATTGGAAAAGGCCAAACTGTGTTTACACATTTGTTGAAACAACTTTATCTGTTTGCATATTTCGGAATAACACATGCTCTGTATTACCTGCAATAAGACAGAGAAAAAGCACTTGGTTTTGTATCAAACTGTAAGCCAGGCTTTGCAGGTTTTAACATCAGCACTTAATGGCCATAAAGTGAACTCCATATACTCAGGATCTTAAGTGGTACCAATTACAACTTCAGAATCCCTGCGAGAGTTTTGTGCACATCATCCGTGTCTGACATTTTGTATTCTTGAGGATAAGATAAGAAAAGCAAGAGCTGAAGGGTCTCTGGAAAACTACTTTGTAGATCAGCAATGAACACAAAGTGGGACAAATAGGTATCAATTACAAACACAGACACATTGTAACATGTCAAGAATTAAGTCTGTGTTCTGTCACCGATTTAAGACCAAATTTAAGATCAGTCGATCTGATCTTCAATTATTTTTATTTTTATTTTTGGTCAGCATGCTTCTATGCACTGTGATGACACAGGAAAACTACAAGCTTTCAGTTCCTCAGATAAATGGCCAAGGAAAGGCTACTGAATTTGTAACACCAGTGATCTGAGGTCACGGTACTGTTTGCCTGAGTAAGAGCAAAGCAATGGAAATAGGCAGGACACTTACGTATTATAGCTGTGAATATAAACTTTGTGCAAGGTCATCTGCTGCAGGGAAAAGATGTGGATTATAATTCGGAGCAGTATGTCACTCGTCTCTGCAAAGAACTGGTCAAATCCCCAGCATTTTTCCTGGTCTGCTTCAAGAATATTTGCAAGGACAGGTGTGAGCAGCACCTGCAGACCCCTAGAGGACACCGGGAAGAGGTAAGACAACTTGGAGCTTTTCACCCTGTAACCGGCTGCAATACTTCATTTGCCTTGTCTCATGAATGCAAAGCTATCATCCCTTGAAGAATACTCCAGTCGTTTTTTTTTACTCCTCTACTGAACATCTAAATGTTCAGTGGTAATGTCCATTGTTTTCCATTAGTACACATACTTGATCTCTTTCCTTTTTAGGCTCAATGATCAAGTTTTTTTTTGTTTGACATCTTTCACAGGCATTGGAAAAATAACATGCAATTTAAAAAGTCTACACTGTAGAGTTAAGGTCACTTCCTACCACTGCTGGCAGTAGCTTTTTACCTAGCTCACCCACTTACCAGAGTTTATCACTTTCAGGGAAGCTGCTGCCATTTATGATTTGCTGGCTGAGCTGCTTGTGTGAGCACAATATGTTGCTTTCCATCAAAATCTGCTGCCTTAGCAAAGACTCATTATTTAAATTGTCAGCACTAACAGAATTCATCCAGAGTTGGGGATAAATCAGCACTCCAGACATGCAGCCCAAGGACTGCAAAGAAAACATGCAACTATTATGGCCTTACAGTCATTACTGTTCTAGGAGAAAGGCCAGCTTAAATTTCTTCAATTTCTACTTTGAGAATCTGAATTGCAAGCAACTTTATGGATCCTACTCCCGTGTTACTGTGAACAACTTCTTCAACATTTTAACGTTATATACACATCAAACCTGAATCCTGAGGTAAAACTGGTAATGTTCTGAGGCCAGCCCCAGGGGCTTACACGCATGCTGACAGCCCCATTAGAAGCCAGTGGATGCTGGGCTAAAACTCACTTCAGTACTAAACTTGTAACAGTAAATACAGTTCAAATGCTACTTGAAAATACTACTGCAAACAGATGTTCAATGGAAAAATCTGCTTCCTTCATTATTCCAAACATTTCAATTATATGGAATAAGCAAAGGAAACAACTAAGCAGTATCATGAAAAATACACATAAGCTGCAAGAATACTAGAAACTAATGAACTGCTATAGACCAGACTCTCACTCTGCACCCCTTGACCATCTACATATTTAGCTTTCACAAAAGTTTGTTTCTAGAATGTGTTTGCTGAACAATTTCTTTCTCCCTTCAACATGAAAGAGTAGTAACTTCACAGTAATGAAGAAGTCTCACAAATATAAACAGGCAAACGGGAGGTGGTTTTAAGAACATAAGGAGTTCCGGTCTTCCATGGCTCTTCCTACTCAGTATTATGACAAGAAGCAATAATGCGATGATAAAAGAAATTTAGAAGATGCTGTGAGAATGTTAAAACATGTCGATGTGAGATTTTCTTTGGGAAAAAATGCAAGTCTCTGACCTGTCTCTGCTTATCATTTCCTTCCTACTGTCTACTCTTTGTGACATCTGAAGTCACATCCTTGCAAGAAAGGGGGACCATCAATTCAAAGTTTATTAAATCTTCCTACTCTTTCCTGAGGGTGGAGAAAATACAGTAATAATCTTTCTTCTACTCATACTGCTTCAGATTCTCAGGTGCTTGTTTGTAAATTAGCAGTCACAAAACTATTTGGACAGATAGGAAGAAAACACATTTGATAACCTACTAGTAGAGTGTACTGATCTACTGAAGAGTTTAAAGAAAACAAAGAGTCAGATCTTTGTTCCCAGTCCTGATAGAGTAACTGGAAAAGCCAGATCAAGCAGCACTGAAACATTTTATGAGAAGTTCAAACTTACTTTGAAATACTACAAGAAACAGGCATCTCCCAGCTCCACTCAATTGGTCCATTTTCTGCTTTCTGTATTCCAGAAATAGCACCAGAAGGCTTTCCAGTGATTATTTTATACCTGTGATACATTATAAAAAGAACAGAGACTTCAACTACTACTCTTATACATACAGAGGTCTAGTAACTAATCCTTAAGGTCTATCAGTAATATAAAACAAAACAACAGGTTGGCCTAAATGTGTAGGTCTAATTACTTGGAACAACTAGGAAGCTTCACTTAGAAGCTGACAGTGCTAAACCAGTAAACAATGGAAAGGAAACACTTTGGGCTATGCTGGAGAAGCAATTTTGTTTCAGGTTTGGGAAAAAAATATGAGATACTTCAGGCATCAATGAAGGAAGCTGAGGTTTTTTCACAAGTGCAAATTAATCAAAGTCAGATTTCCAAGGCAGCTCCACTTAGACATTTACACGAGTAACTTCCAGCATGTTTCATGGCAAGAGCTGACATTCAGCCACCACAAAGTCACTTTGGGATAAAGGAACAGGAGGTGGGCATTGAGAAATTACTTAAACTTGGAAACATCTAGCATATTGGACACAAGTTGTCATTGTCTAGCTTTGTACTGAACAGGCTAGCATTTCTCAAATCTCTCATGAAATGAATCAGAAGCAACAGAAAGCTTCAGTTGTACTTTGTCTTTTTGGATGACGAGGTAAATACAAAACACATTCCTTGCTAATCTCTGAAGCAGATGCAACAAGAACACCTGTAGGATAATCACAGTTCCTTAAAGTAAGAAATTTGCAAGGAGTACTACAACAGATGTTACTGGCCTGTCAGATTCCAAGCACCACCTTAATTTTTTTAGTGCAACACACAGAACAACAACAAAATAGAACTAGACTAAGATGAAACATGTATCAACTCCAACCAGCATGTCATAGACACAACTTCTGTATCACATTCAAGAGCCACCCCTGTTATCTTCAGCCACAGTCCACAACTATGCTACTCAAAAAAACATCAGTCTCATGGGTAGGGCATGCATTTCAAGCCTGCCTGAGAAGACAATCATTTAAAGGACAACAAAAATTTGCAGCATGGAAAACCCATTACAGAAAACCATAATTTTGCCTGATTATCCAAGTTCCATACACCACACTGCAACAGACCAACCTAGTGCCATAGTAAAGGAAAGATGTGTGGAAAAACATCAGTATTTAGGGGAAGCTCTGACGTTTAAGTCAGTCTTTCAGGTACCACACAGTAAAATTCTTGTTGAAGCAGGAAGTTTGTACTGGTTTTGGCTGGGATAGAGTTAATTTTCTTCATAGTAGCTCTCATGGTCCTGCATTTTGGATTTGTGACCAGAAGAGTATCAGTAACTCTTGTTATTGATGTTTTAGCCACTGTTGAGCAGAGCTTACACAGCGCCAAGGCCTTTCCTATTTCTCCCACTGCTGCCCTGCCAATGAGCAGGCTGGGGGCAGGCCAGAGGCTGGAAGGGGACACAGCCAGGACAGCTGAGCCCAAGGGATATTCCATACCATATGACACCATGCCCAATAATAAAAGCTGGGGGGGGGGAGGAAATGTGCCAGGGTAGCAGCTGGTCAGGAACTGACTGCATATCAGCTGGCTGGCAACAAGCAAACGGGGGTTTTCTGAATCACTTGCTTTTCTTGGTTTTGTTTTCTTTGTGTTTAGGGGTGGGGAGTTTTGCTGGATTTTTTACTTATTAAACTGTCTTTATCTCAACCCACAAGTTTCTGCACTTTTACACTTCCAGTTCTCTTCCCCACCACAAACAGCCATGTGGTGCTCAGCTGCCTACTGGGGTTAAACCACAACAAAGTTAGAGAATGTTTTTCCTTAAATATTTTCACTATTTTGATGTTTACTATACATGCATAGGATTTCATGATAAAAAGAATTTAATGGACTGACTTAGTTTATGAACAGATAAAATTCTCCTTCTAAATTACCTACATGACTTCCTTGTTTCGACGAGGTCCTTCGAAGGGTCGGAAAGGCAAGCTCCCTGTTGCAGCATGGTAAAAGGTCACCCCTATGCTCCACAGATCAACTGTTGCCCCATACTTCTTTTGATGCTCTTTCCTCAAAACTGCTCGTTCATACATATCAGGATGCTAAAGAGAAAAAAAAAACAACCAAAAAACAACAGGAAAAAAAAAGAGTTAGGATAGCTTTATGAACAATATAAAGAACAAAACCCCAATCTAGAATTGCACAGCAAGATAATTTGTCATTCTAGCTCTTTAACCAAAAAGCAAAGTTAGCTTGTATCATGGAATTTCCTTATGTTATTCTGACAGAATCACAGAATTGTTCTGAGGTACAAAGGCTGCTTTCATTAAAGGTATGCAAAAAAGACTTTAAAATTTAGCTACAGATTGACTTCTAGAATAAAATACTGCTAGAGAAGGGGAGAAAGCCAGTGTTCCTCCAGATGATTTTGAAACACAGAAACCAAACTGGAAAAAGATTCATGACAGAGATAGTATCATAACTGGTATTCTCATGTGGGGAAACACAATAGGAAGAAAATTATACACAAGACACTTGTGTGCTGATGCTTCTCTGCCTGCCTCTCTTCAGTTCACTAAGATGTCAAGTGAATCTTACCTACACCTAACATCATCTAAGTAATTCAATTACAAACTGAAAAACATCTATAGAGATAAAGGCAAAGACAGTCATAACTAAAATGCTGCTGTTCTTCCTTTCACACAAGGCAACAGTGGAAGCTGGACCTGGAAATAATTTAAAGGTTACTGTGCTCAAATCAGAAGAAGAACTGGCATGACCCAAGGTGAAAAGGTGGGAAGTCATAAAAACAGTTATAATACAAAGATTTAAATATTGATTCCCAGCAGCCCAACTTTCACCTATTCAACTCTAATGACAAAGGGTCCCAGGCTTCAAACATTTCTTAAACAGAAGTGAAATCATATGAGCTTACTAAATACTCTTCTGTGCCATAGAGAGAAACAAACTGTTCATCATCTTCAAGCTCTCTTGCAGCACCAAAGTCTGTAAGTTTGTAAACTGACTGTCCATCTTCACCTATGACACGCATGATATTGCCCGGTTTGATGTCTCGGTGCACTATTCCGTTCTCCCGGAGATGATTCATCCCAGCCACTTCAATTAAACAAAAAAATAAAAATTAAAGAAAAATACAGAATTTATGAACACATCTCGACACAGACTCCACAAGCAGTGAATTGTAACTGAGGCTAGGAAGACATACCTGTTCACTTTCTCACTGGGAAATGGGAACCAGAAGGGACACTCAATTAACAAAAAGACCAGGACCAAAGACTATTCTAAGCATTTTTGCCTTTTTTTCTTCCAAAGAGCTACATTACAGAGTCTCTTTCTCTCAGCAACATCTTTCCCATAAAGTAACGGAGGAGAAATTTATAACAGGCAGGCACAGGTAAACCTCACCACTTTTTCCAACTCACTCTTCTGAAATTAAATATCACTAGGAATCAGTCTATCAGGTGACAAATCATCTTGAAACAAGCAAACAAAGGAGAATTATAGCAATGCTTTATGCAGAAATAGCTTCTTAATGGAGCTGTCTATACCAATGTAGACACAAATAAAAGATGTGGTTCCATATGACCATATTAATTTGTTCAATTAGTTGCCAGTCATTCAAATTCCTTGTCTCTTGCTGTTTCAAGATAAACAAAACGAGCACAACTTTGTTTCAGTCAACAAATTAGACTTCAGAGCAAACTCTACATACCCACGTCTCTCAGAACAATTAAGAACTCAGACTCTGGCAAACCAAAGGCATTAGAGGGCTCCTCTAAAACTGTATACAAACTCCCACATGGACAAAATTCCATAACTAGTACTTTGTGTCTAGTCGTTGTCTGGAAAAAAATTAGAAAAGGTAAGCCTGTGATTATTGTGAAAACATTGTTAGAAGTTACATAAAACGACATGATCTCACTTTAAAAAAAACCAATCTGTAGCTAGGTCATAAACCCCATTCTGGTGATCTTTGAAAGAAGCACAGGTGAATTTTTACACTGTTTCACGTACTCTAACTAGGAGAGGCGGAAAAAACTAAGAAAGCCTCAAATTCTAGGCACTTAAGAGGGTTGACAGCAGTATTGATAGGTGGACAGATGTGAAACTACAGCACAACAGAGCAGGGAGCAGCAATTGTCCTCTACTCATCTCAGCATCTGGGTCACCCCAACTCATCAGCCTCAGTTTCAGCACAACTACTGCAATTCATACTGCAAGAACATGCAGTTCTACATGCCTTACATCATTATCTTATGTCATTACTTTAGCCAGTGGCAGAGTAAAAGCATAACATTATCAGGATTACTGAAACACCTCCAACTGTCAGTATGTATTAAATACGCATTCACATAGATAGCTAAAAAATCCTAACTCAAGATAAAGCTTAGGGCAGTGGCTTCCTGAGATGCTGCTGAATAATCATAACCTGTGCCTAAACACTGAAAGCAAGCATATTCTGTCAACAACAAAAAAGAAAGAAAATCCAAAACTAGTGGTGTCAGGGTATTTATACCACCATATATGTTACTGTTCTTTAAAAATGTAACTTCATCCTCTATAGTTAAGGATAAAGCAAAAAGACAGTTACTGTGGTTACTACCATACACCTCAGATCACAGCTACAACATCTTTACCAACTTCATTACCTCTTCCTCGATGGCAAACAACTTGACAATGTTCTTATGATTTAGTTTCTTCAACACTTCGAACTCTCTCATCTGAACATCCACAGGACGAAGGAAACTTATGCTGTTAAACACTTTGACAGCATATAAATCCCCAGTTTTCTGTTCAAAACAAACAAATCACCAATCAAATGGGAGCATAAGATTGCAAATGTGCATGTGACCATTATCCAAGCATTTTGAGATCTGTTGTGCACACAAGCATACCCAGATTAGAAATAGTTCAAAATATTATGTGTTAAGGTGGAAATTAAGATTCTACTTTTAAAAATATGTATATATGGGTTTTAATACAGACTAGAAGCTAGAAGACTAGCAGAATGGAAACTCAATGCTAGCCCACAAAATCTAGAGTGCTTTTAAAAAAAAGAATAGTTAGTGTAAGAGAGGCTACACATTTAAGAATGATCTATAAGTTTGGCTGAAAAATAACTTTCAGCAAGAGGCAGGCCACTTGTGCGCATCGATAAGAGACACACAAACTACATTGAGACTCTTGGCTTGCTTAAGAGACACCTTTTGGAAGCTGCACATTCCTCTCTTTTTCTTTATTCTGTTTATACTGATAAAGCAGTATTTTTTTCTTTTTTTTCTCTCAAAGAAGGCAGTGTCAAGCACTGCATAACACTCATGCAAAATCCTGAAGCAATTCAAAACCATGTAATAAATGACAGGAACACAGTCATGAGCTTAATCAGAGACTTAAGTTCTCAAGGGGGACTAAGCCCCAGCACGCTCAGGCGCCACAGCACCAGCTGAGAGTGCAGCTCCTGTCCCTCTTAGGGACAAATTTTGCCTCTGAGGGCAAAATTCCTCCCTTCTCCCACTCTAGGAACAAGCTGACATTACCGGTGCTGCATGCGATGGGCTCTTGCTAAGGACAAAGCTTGGACTGGGGTGTTGTACTGGCACTACTGGTGCCCAGGTAAAAGATGTCACCTGTTGACAATGAGCTGCAGTTCATGCCCTCAGACTGCAGAGGGGGATGAGAGGTGCAACCATTTAAACCATAAGCTTTACAGGGGAATCATTCTGTGTTGAAATTCACTCACCTAGAGGTGCACACTAACTGCTAAATTATTGCTTAGTGTTGCTTCACAGGTAAATGTGGAACACAGAAACACTGTGTTCCACATAAAACTTAATTTGATTTGACACAGACAGTCATTACTACAAGGGAATGTTACTTTCACAACTAATCTCATCTGCATTTTGTGAGACATACACTGAAATTCATAGGAACAGAATGACCTAAAAAAGTAAGGCCAGTTTAGACCCTCACTCAGGTTACAACATACACATCAGTACATCATTTACATGGCAAAACTACTCAAAGATGGACTATTTTATAGCTATTACTCAAGGCATGTCAGCACAAAGATGGTGTCCTAGATAGGCATGAAGACTTTTGGACAAAGACTAACAGCAACTTCATCCAATGCAACAATACACTAAGAATATTTCACATGCGTTACAAAAATCATACACATTTTTTTTTAAAAGGGCTTTAAGAGAACAGAGAAAAAAATAAGAAAAAAGAACTAACAGACAAAAATAACACATCACATGGTAAAAAATGGTAAGACTTATTTCTATTTAAATTCTTAAAAATCAGCATTTTTTGCATAAAACTGAAAAATGGAGGAATGAAGAATTAATATTTATGAGGACAAGTAACAGTATTAAAAACAAGTCCTCAGAAATAACTGTACAGAACTCTAATTCAATTGAATTTTATTAAAAATTAAAACGAAGTATGAATAATTACAAAGATATGCTTTAGGCAAAATATATCTTGAACTTTTTTTGTTGATTTCATGATGCTACCCACATATGAAAAAAAAAAAAATCCATTTTCATGTTACTCAGACTAGTAACTTCTCACAAACCTTATGTCGTCCCCGGAAAACATTTGCAGTAGCTCCCTGTCCTAGAATGTCAGATAACAGCCAGAGGTAGTTCGGAGTGCTCTGCATTCTTGCTCTTTAATTAGACAGTTTTCTTTTTCACCTTCAAAACAAAAGGTTAAATATACTGAATTATAATTTAGTAAAATACACAAAAGGGACTTGTCTCAATTAGAAAGAGAAAACCCCCAAACAACTGCAACTCTGAAGACATACAGAAATAACCAAGAACAACCAAGCAGAGGAATAAGAATTGAAACAAAGAAACAAAACCAAGTTTAACAATCAAAGCTAATGCCATAGGCTCACCACCTCTCTGCCTTTGAGGTCTTTACTCCCCACACTTTGTCTGAAAAAATCAACTGGAAAGGTGAAAGCTTTATAATCAATTTTCTGGATTATAAATGCAGGTGTTTAAATGATACAATAACAAAAACTATAGGAAACACTCAAAAACAGGTGCCCAAAGTCTTTTGAAATAAGCAAGACCTGTAATCAAATTTCATTATTCAGTATATATGCCAAAAAACAGACCTTAGAGATGATGGCAGATACTGTATACAGATCCTTTAGATCCCTTTGGCTCTGGAAGCTGCACTTCCTATAACTGCAAAGGAACTGGACTCATTACTTACAAAAAGCTATTTTTACATGAGCTAGATAAAAGTCACAATGAACACAAGTATTTTCAGCTACTTGCTAGAACCAGCAATTACTACTAGAAGAAATTAAGGAACATTTCTATCATTTCTAAAATCACACATCTGGTATGTCACATCATTTCCAGACAAACAGCCTGGCTTCTCCACATTTCCTGAAACATAAATTGTCAGATACTCAGGTCTTCATAGAGGGGGAAAAAAAAAAAAAAAGCCCTATTAAAATAAAACATAAAAAACCAAAACCAAAACATTAGAACTGTCAGATTTCCCCCCTCGCCAAAACAGTAGGAGCTGCAGATGAATACCTTGTTGCTTTAATTAAAGCACAGATTTTGCCACTAAATCTAGCTTAAGGCTCTAAGATCAAAGACTGAAGATCTAAAATTGATCTTCCTGGATCTAAAGAATCTTAAGGGCAAAACAGCAACTGGACATGGGGAAGGTCCTGCAGCAGCAGCCTTTCCTCACAGCCTGGCAGGGGACCTCGCATCTGCCTGTGTTACTTGAGGAGAAACAGTTGATCCTGTAACTACTGGAAGAAGAGGTACGACAGAATCTGCTGTGCATGTTTGTTACAGGAGGGTGGCTGGTGCTTCTTGAGAGCTCCTTGCTGCACAGGATGACAGCACCTGCAGCCTTAGGGCGAGTGCTGCAGCAGACTGGAGGAAGCACCTCGGCCTGGCCCACGCTAGCAGCCAGCTGAAGTTTCTTGCAAAACATTTAAAAAGTGTAGATGAAGTTATGCCCAGAGAAGGGGAAAAAAAGGTTTTATCTCAAATCAGAACAGAAAAAAATCCAGACCACATCCCACAGGCTTACAATCGCCAGTTAACTCTGACAAGACCACTTGCAATAGTAGAGTTAAGGTACCCTCTCCCAGCTGGCAGTTACTGGAGATGCCAAGGAGCTACCTACGATGCAGACACAGAAAGTAAGGAAGAGGTCTGCAAGGAAATGATGCATAGCCCACTCTGTAAACTATTTGGAAAATCTCTGAGTTACAAAATTCCTTGTAGTTAAAACTCTGCTTGTAGCAAGCCAGCTGGCATGCTACCAGTAAAGAGGTATTCTGTCACTGATTTCAAAGCCGCGTTCATCAGGCTCCTACCAAGATGCAGAAACACGGAGCGTGCCGAAGGATCAACTAAACACAAAGTTTCTTCACCAGTATCTATTCAAATGCAATTTTTGCCAGCCTATTAGAGGCTGAATTATTATGTTGCCTGCATCAATAAAAATGAGGTAGCTTATACATGAGATCAGCTCCCTTCCTTTACCTTCTAACTAAATTTGCATGAAGGTTAATAGCTAAAAGCAAAGCAAAAGGACAAGTCTGCAACATGAGCGTTGATATTCAATATATTAAAAAAAAAGAAATGTAGCAAGTCACTTGTTTCTCAAGTTCTGGATTTTTTCATTCATAAAACTATAGATTATAACGGTGCCAGTATTAGGTACTAGGATACATATTCAGCACCAAACCAGTCAGTGCTGCACTATTACACTTTTTTTTTTTTGAAATAGTACTTTTATAATAATAAAGCCTACACTCTTCTACAGTCTTTACTTTTGAGGCATAAAGTCTTATTCAGCTTTAGCTTTAATCTACAAGTTATAATAATTTGACTCAATACTTTCTATAACATATTAGACCCCCTTTAATACCTTTCCTTTCTTAGATTGATTCAGACTTGATCTTTGCTAAACACTCAGCATGCTTTCTTTTCACATCTTCCTAAATCAATTCACCACCAGTTTAATAATTTAAAAAAGTATTTCTGCCTATGCAATTGGTCCTCTCAGTAGATTTAATGCTGAACTTTCTATTTCTTCATATCTAATTTATGGTCATTAAGTCTGATACTAGATGGTAGATATGAAGAAAGATAACTCTCAGTGATGCTACTAGTTCTTTGTCAGTAGAGGGGTTGTGATAGAAAAAGATTGCATTGCTAATTGTGATTTTTTTTTTTTTAACTCCCAATGCTTTGAAGCAGGAGTACTGACTACTTCTAATTAATATGAAGAAGTCTGCTGTTACCTCAGGCATGCAGGTCCTGCACACAAAGCAGGTACTTCCCCTGTTAACAGCTCCAACAGGCAACTCCCCCTGGCAAGCAGGGATAGCTGATGAAGTTAAAGTAAAGGCTCCGTCTACAGGCAGGGTCCTATATGCCTATATAGGAAGTCGACAACCAAGGTGTTGAGGTTCTGAATAAATGTTGTTAGTGTTATAAAGTTTGGTAAACATGAAGGTTTCATACTTTCCTGTATAATCCCTCTCAAAGCCTATATAAAGAGTTTCTCCCCCTGAAGTTCATACTTCCTACCTCTGCCTTTTCCCCCTAACCTCCTCCTGTAAGTTACCAGTCCAACAGCTAGCGTCTGAATTACCGAAACACCCTGCCCCAGGCGGTGCTGTTTGAACCCCTACGAAGCAGCACCAGCTCCCAAAGGCCTGCAGGAACAGCAGACACGCCGGGCTCCCGTGCATCATCCATCATCACCACAGCTCTTGGCATCTCCAGTCGGGAGAAGGACTCGGCCTCTGTGCGCCCCTGGGAAGGTACGGAGGGCCACAGGTTCTCTGAGCGACCCCGCCAGCCCCACGCTGAGAAACGGGGGGTCCTGGGGGTACAGTACCGGAGCTCACCTCCCTAAGAGGACACCCCTCCTGAGTCACAACTTCAACGATTACAACCGCGAAGGCGATGCCGCTACCTGAGGGGAGCTTTATACAGACCGCTGTCAAACGCACGCTTCGCTTGGCCTTTGTCTCCCGCCCTTTCCATTACAGAAGTAATCTGCAAGGGTCGCAT